GTGGGACCCCGTGGGGCCTGGGCCTCTTGGGGCCTCTTGGGGCCTGCTGGGCGCCTCTTGGGGCGGAAGGCTCGGATGTTCGGTTGGTGTGTTCCCGCTTTGGCCCCTCTTGGGGCAGTCATTGGGCCTTCTTGGGCGTCTCGGGCGCCTCTTGGGCCCTCTGGGAGGTCTCTTTGGGCTTCCTGGGGGTTTCTGGGGGCCGAGTGCTCGGAATGTCAGTTCGGGTCCCCCGTCTAGGTCCCCTCTTGGAGCCGCCTTTGAGGCGCGTGGGCAGTCTTGGAGAACTCGTGGGCCGTCTTGAAGTGACGCCCTTCTGTGCCGTTGTTCCGTTTCGGAGGCCTCTTGGGTCGTCTTGTGGCGGTCTTGAACGCCTCTGGGCCCGTCCTGGTGCGTCGGGAAGCCGACAAGGCGAGAACACCGAATTTTTTCAAACACCTAGGGCACACCAAGGATTTGTGCCTCTTGGGGCCCTCGTGGGAGGCCTCTTGGAGACCTCTTCGGGCGTCTTTGGGGTATCTTCGGCCGCCTGGCGGCCGTCTGGGGCGATTTGGACCGATCGTTCGATGCCTCCTAGCGTCTTCTTGCCCTGTCTTGGGGCTCTCTTGTCGTCTCAAAATGCCCAGACGGCACACCCCGAGGGGGCGCAGAAACACCCAGGACCGCCTGGGAACTTGGGGTCCCAGGCCCTCAAGAACCTTTCAAAACCACAAGCCATCTACCTCGCAGAGCTGCATGAGCCTGGAGGCACTCCACTACGTGCCGAAGGTGCACTTGAGGATCTTGCTTTCTCTCTCTCTCTCTCGCTCTCTCTTCTCTCTCTGTCTTTCTTTCTCTCTCTCTCTCTCGCTCTCTCTCTCTCTCCTCTATTTCTATATATATATATACACATGTGCATATATTAAGCGAGGTAGGCGAGAGTGATAGAGAGGTAGTAGAGAGAGATGTAGTAGAGAAAGAGAGAGAGAGGCCGACAGAGAGAAGGAGAGGGAGATTGAAGGGATGCGGAGGAGGATGAGGATAGGGAGATGTTGTGGATCAGGCTGAGGCCTGCCCAAGCGGCCACGGCAGCCTCCGCAGGTCGCCAGGCTACGGCGTCGTGCGGTTTCGCCCGGAAGGCGCTGGCACGCAGGCCGAGATCGTGCTCGAGAATTGGCCCAACTGGGCAGATCCCGACAACAGGCGGCATGGCGGACGGAGGAGGGAGAGGGTTATGCTCGGTCGCAAACCATGGGAGCCTTGTATACCGTCGAGCTCTTGTCTTCAGAGCGCTCTAGCGTCGATCAGCGTCTAGTAATCGATGAGAGCACCGATGTAGCTTCGATTAGCGCCGACTAGTGTCGATTTGCGTTCTTCGTCATCAATCAACCTTCGTTCTCTTGGGGTCAGGCTTTTGGCTTCTTCGCAGCAGCGTTTGGCTGCATCTCGCTGAAGCGTTCGGCTGCTTCGCTGGCTTCTCGCGTGTAAGTCTTCACGGCAGTTTCACCAGTCTTTCTCGCAGGGCCATCGTGCTAGGCATGCCCGTTGCCTATTTTCGGGCCGCCCTCCTGGGCGTTGAGCGCCAAATATGGAATGAGAGCCTCCCATGGGTCGCCAACGAAGTTATGCGGTCTTTCCTGGGCAATTGTTTGACAGCTTTAATCGCGTCTCGTCTTGTTGTTTTTGTTACTTCGTGGCTCCTGAGCGGCGGCTGGAAGGCTCCTCAGTGGCTGGCAGTGCTGATTAGTGCTTAGTGGCTCCTTCGTGGTCCCTTAGTGGCAGTGGCTTCTTAGTGGCTCCTTACTGGTGTCAAGGAGTTTCCTGGGAACGACCAGATGAGGAGGGGTAGAGCGAGCGGGAGGGAGGAGGAGAAGCAAGAGTTGAGAACCACTCAGCACCATTCTCGGAATATGAATGCCACTCGCCTCTCTCCCCTGGTGACGTCCAGTGTGGCGGCCGACTCTCCCGCGCGTTATGTATTTCTAAACCGCATGCCATACACATAGTTTCTGGCATGTTCTCTCGACACGTCCCAGCTCTGTTCAGACTTGAGATGTCGTCAGGCCATGCTTCCGGATCCGAGTCCTTCATTGTCGTCGCCGTTCTTTTCCTTTCCCCTCCCCTGTGTTTTGCTTCTCTTCATGCTCCTCCTGCTCCTCCTGCTCCTGCACCTGCTGCTACGGCTGCTGATCATCCTTGTCCTGATCATTCTTCCGGTCCTCGTCCCGCTTATCCGCCACCTCCTCCCCCTAGTCTTAACGTACAACACCCCCGTCTCTGATTTCGCATTTGACGATGTGTTCACTTTCAGGATCCAGGGCCTTCATGACAGCCGGGCCGGTGAACAAAGAAACACATTCCAGCGCAATGGGAAGGCAGGGGTGGGAGGGGTAGGATGTCGTCAGATATGGTGTGAGCGAGCCTAGTTTGCCTGCCCGTCCCGTATGTCTGCCCTATTTCTTCTCCTTTCAATTTCTTCCATCCTTTCTGCCTCCTCTTCACCATTGCTCACTTCTTCGCCTCCTTCGCCTGCAGATCCCCTCGCTCCTCTTCGTCGTCGTTGCCTCCTCATCCTCCTCTCGGCCTCCTCCTGGCTCCTGCAGCCTCCTCCCCTCTCCTGCCTGCTCTCATGCACCCGCCTTCTTCCCGCCTCCTTCCATTCATCCCCCGTTCTTGCCTTCTCTCGCCCTGCCCCCACCCCCACCCGCCGCCCCCCTACTGCCCGCTTCTCCCTCCCTCCCGCCTTCCAGTCCTCCTCCTCCTCCTCCTCCTCCTCCTTTTCCTCCCTCTCCTCGTCCTCCTTCTCCTCCTCCTCCTCCTCCTCCTCCTCCTCCAACGAGGTGATTCTCGGGCTTCCGCCGCACCGCCGACCCTGTGGGGTGGGCACAGCCCGCCGCCGTGCCTGGATTGCGGGTTTGACGCCATTCGGATGGCTGACAGGGTCGCGCGGGAGGCACGTCGGGAGCGCCACGGAGGCAGTGTGTGAACCTGTTTGGGGGGGCCTCCTGGCGGCGTTTGGGGGCTTTTTGGGGGGGGGGCCTCTCGGCGAGGTGCTTGTCCTCCTCCTCCTCCTCCGCCTCCTCCTCCTCCTCTCCTCGCTCCTCCTCCTCCTCCTCCTCCTCCTCCTTCCTTTACCCTCAGTCGCTCGCGGACGGCCCCGGGGCCTGGTGGGGGCCCCCCCAGGCACCCCATTTCTCCTTCCCCCCTCCCCCCCAACTGCCTCCCCCCCCACACACTTCCCCTCCTCCTCCCTCCTCCCCCCTCCCCTCCCTCCCCCCTCCTTTCCCTCCCCCTTCCTTTCCCTCCCCCCCCCTCCCCCTCCTCTCACCCTTTCCCCCCCAGTCGTGATTCTTCCCGACGCGAGGAAGTCTGGGCTCGCCTCTCCTGCCCCCTCCTTGTGAGGCAGTTCCTCATGGGGTGGTTTCGGCATCGGCGCTGGCAGACCCGCTGGCGAAGATCAGCCTGATCCGGCACACTTCGGCATACTCCTGTTATCCGGCGCGGCGTGGCGTAATACCGGGCGTGGCGTAATTCGGCGTGCTCCTCGTTATCCGGCGTGGCGTAATCCCAGGCTCAATCTGGGCTGATCCGAGTCAGTGACACCTCTCGACCGGGCCGAGTATACCTCTCGAGCGTTCTTGCGAAAACCTCAGGAGCTGCCTTCCGGCCTCCTTCCTCTTGCCCTCGGGTCCACGGGGCCCGTGCGCCCCCCACCAACCGAAAGAGATAGTTTTTCCCCCGTGGTAATCACGGGCGTGACCAGGAGGGAGCGGGGAGGGAGCTGGTCACGTCTCGTTTCGCGCTGGCACTGTTTGAGAATGCTCCAGAATAGCTAAACCCCAACGCTGGCGCGAATCGTGACGAGGCAAGGGAGGGTGGGGGAAGAGGGAGGGGTCAGACGAAGCCAGAACGAGGATATAATCGGTTGAGGATGCGTAAATCGAGAATCTCTGAGATCTGGCAGCTCTGGAGGATGTATCGGGCGCCGCGGTGTTCTCAGAGCGTTCCGGCACGCTCTGAGAGCGTTCCAGAACGCTTTAGAACGGATTCATCTTCGTCCTAGCCTCGTCCGAGGGGGGAGGGGGGGGGCGGGCCCCGGCCACGGGCGTGACCGCGAGTGTAACACTTCTTCCGTCGGCGGCGAGGCGGCGGTGATCCGCAGCAGCGTCGGGCTAATCGGGGGCACCGATATGCAAATTGTCCGTCGCGCCGGCGGATCATCCGAGGCCCCTCGCAAGGGCAGGGGGCAGGGGGCACTCGAGTCGGCGCCTCCGTGGGGCCTGGAGGGAGAGGAGGAGGAGGAGGAGGAGGAGGAGGAGGAGGAGGAGGAGGAGGAGAGGAGGAGGAGGAGGAGGAGGAGGCGGAGGAGGAGGAAGGAGGAGGAGGAGGAGGAGGAGGAGGAGGAGGAGGAGGAGGAGGAGGAGGAGGAGGAGGAGGAGGAGGAGGAGGCGGAGGAGGAGGAGGAGGACGGAGGAGGAGGAGAGGAGGAGGAGGAGGAGGGGAGGGAGGAGAGGAGGAGGAGGAGGAGGAGGAGGAGGAGGAGGAGGAGGAGGACGGAGGAGGAGGAGGAGGAGGAGGGGAGGAGGAGGAGGAGGAGGAGAGGAGGAGGAGGAGGAGGAGGAGGAGGAGGAGGAGAGGAGGAGGAGGAGGAGGGAGGAAGGAGGAGGAGGAGGAGGAGGAGGAGGAGGGGAGGAGGAGGAGGAGGAGGAGGAGGAGGAGGAGAGGAGGAGGAGGAGAGGAGGAGGAGTAGGAGGAGGAGGAGGAGGAGGAGGGAGGAGGAGAGGAGGAGGAGGAGGAGGAGGGAGGAGGGAGGAGGAGGAGGATGGAGGAGGAGGCGGAGGAGGAGGAGGACGGAGGAGGAGGAGGAGGAGGAGGAGGAGGATGAGGAGGAGGAGGAGGAGGTAGGAGGAGGAGGAGGAGGAGAGGAGGAGGAGGGAGGAGGAGGAGGAGGAGGAGGAGGAGGAGGAGGGCGGCCGCGCGGGGGCGAGTGTAATACCTGGGGCGCCGGCCCCGAGAGGGGCGAGATGTACGAGGACTGGCCCGTGGTGCTGGACGGCCGCGCGAGGCCCAAGGCCGCGGGCAGGACCCCAGGGGAGGGAGGGATGCCTCCTCCTCCTCCTGCTCCTCCTCCTCCTCCTCCTCCGCCAACTCCTCCTGCTCCTCCTCCTCCTCCTGCTCCTACTTCCTCCTCCTGCTCCTCCTCCTCTTCCTCCTCCTCCGCCAACTCCTCCTCCTTCTCCTCCTCCTCCTCCTCCTCCTACTCCTCCTCCTCTTCCTCTCTGCTCCTCCTCCTCTCGCCTCTCTGCTCTTGCCCTTGCTCCTCCTCCTCCTCCTTCTCTGTGCTCCCTTCTCTCTGCTCCTCGTCTTTCCTCCTCCTCATCCTCCTCCTGATCCTCCTTCTCCTCCTCCTCATCCTCCTCCTCCTCCTCCTCCCCCTTCTCCTCCCCCTCCTCCTCCTGCTCCTGCTCCTGATCCTGCTCCTGCTCCTGCTCCTCCTCTTCCTCCTCCTGCTTATGTACCTGCCCCTGCTCCTCCTCCTTCTCCTCCTCCTGCTCCTCCTCCTCCTCCATCCCGTCCCCTCCTCCCTGTTTCGGGGGGGCAGGAGGAGCGGGCTCAGGGGGGGATGCAGTTGCCCCCAGGCGCCAATGTTTTGTCTATGCCAGCATGATAACCCCATGCTCCGGATGATAAATAATTCCTCCCTGAGAGTTGGTTCTCTCTTGCCAAGACTGGTCGGGGGAGGGGCGGCGAGGCCGAAATGCAATATCGCGCGGGGAAATTTCGAATGGAAGTTGCTATCTTCTTCTGTTGGGGCGCAACATCACTAGGAACGTGTGGCAGTGCAATGCTATTATCACCATTTCAGTCTGGGGTGGACAGAACCCCCAACAGTGACACGTCGATTAGTGAATTGTCCGTTTTCGGTTCTCGAGAGGGCGCCGTGGCCGTTATTTTCCAGGCTTGCGCCCGCCAGGTTTTGGCCTCAGGTCGTTTTCACTAAACCACGTTTTACTAAAGGGAGGTCTGTCCATCCCCGATTCAGTCACCAACTTGTGGCAGGGATGTGTGAGACTCTTTCACTTTCATTTCCACAGCGCGAAAGTGTGGCAGGGCAATCGTCCGTTCTCTACTAGTGTGGCTACTACCGCTACTAGTATCACCACGGCCATGACTACTACTGCTTTACGAGTACGACTACTACTACTACTACTACTACTACTACTACTACTTCTTTTACTACTACTACTACTACTACTACTACTACTACTACTACTACTACTACTACTACTACTACTATGTATGACAAGTGCAACTACTACTTACAACTACTAGTTCTACTAGTAGTAGAAGTAGTAATAATAGTAGTAGTGTTCCTACTACGCCTACTGCTACATCTTGTGTTATGACTACTATCACTACTACTGCTACTGCCACCCCTACTAATACTACTGCTACTGCTACGAGGATTACGAATCCTACTAGTATTCGTGTTACCATTACGTACCACTACTACTAATACTACTACGGCTGCTGTTGTTACTTCTGCTCCTAACTATATCTGCGACTACTCTCACTACTGATCTAATCGAACTACTACTACTACCCCTACTACTACTACTACTACTACTACTACTGCTACTACTACTACTACTACTATTACGCCTACTACTACTACTACTACTTATACTACTACTACTACTACTACTCCTACTACTACTGTTACTACTACTACTCCTACTCCTACTACTACTGTTACTACTACTACTACTACTACTACTACTACTACTACTACTACTACTACTACTACTACTACTACTACTACTACGACTACGACTACGACTACGACTACGACTACGACTACGATGACGACGACTACTGTTATTACCACTGCTTCTACTACCACTGTTTCTAATACTGCTACTAATTATACTACTTCTGCTACGGCTACTTTCACGACTACTACTACGACTACCATGACTACTACAAGGACGACTACTACCCTTACGACTGCTGCTACTACTACTACTACTACTACTACTACTACTTCGACTACTACTACTACTACTACTACTACTACTACTACTCTTATTACTAGTACTACTACGACTACTACGACTACGATTCGAAACACATTTGATTTATGGGCTAGGAGGTTCGGGTTTGGGTTTGGGTTTGGGTTTGGGTTGGGCTTGGCTTCAATAGGAAGCCTTCGTATTGCAATTCAATAGGAACTGCAATAGAAAGACCTAGGACTTCAGTAGAACGTCAAAACTAATTCAATAAAGGTTAATAAGAAGTCCATAGGAATTCAAGTAGATGCCTTTCTAGCTAAGTCCTATAGGAAGTCAATGAATTCCTTGAGCACTCATGGGAATCTAATAGGACATGATCGAACCGCCCGTAGGCGAAGTGTGAAATTCGCCAATCCCGAATGAGGTTTGCATAAGCTGATATTGAGGGCCCAGCCACAGTACCAGCCACACGTGCGCGGGAGCTACTGCCGAGCTCTGCTGAGCCTTGCGCCGCCCCGTGAAGCACTGCGAGGCTCTGCTGCAGCCTGCTAAGCCCTGCTACGTCCTGCTGACACCTGCTGAGCTCTGGTAAGCCTTGTTATATGCGCTGGTGTATCCTGGTAAGCCCTCCCGCGTCCTGCTACGCCCTGCTGGGCTCCCTCCAGCGCCCGGCTGGTCTCTGCTAGGCCCGGCAAGCTCTGGCAAGCCATGCTTCGCCCCGCTAGGCTCTGCTATGCTCTGCTGAGCAGGGCGAAGCCCTGCTGGCCCTTGGTGCGTTGTGCGTGGTGTGTTGTGTCTGGTACGTTGTGTGTTGCGTGTTGTGTGTAGTCTTGTGTGTTGTGTGTGGTGTGTTGTGTTGGGTGTGTTGTGTGTGTGTGTGTGGTGTGTTGTGTGCTTTGTGTGGTGTGTATGTTGTATGTGTTGTGTGTGTTGTGCGTGCTGTGTGTGTGTGTTTGGCGTGCTGTGTGTGTTGTGTTCGTTGTGTGCAGTGTTTGTGCGTTGTGTGTGTGCTGTGTGTTGTGTGTTGTGTGTTGTGTGTCTTGTGTGCCTTGTGTGTGTGTTGCGTGTGCGTGTGTGTGTGTGATGTGCGTTGTGTGCTGTGCGCGTTGTGTGTGTATGTGTTGTGTTTGTTGTGTGTTGTGTGCGTTGTGTGTGTTGTGTGTCTTGTGTGGTGTTGCGTCTTGTGTGTGGTGTATGGTGTGTGTTGTGTGTGTTGTGTGTTGTGTGTGGTGTGTGGTGTTGTGTGTGTGTGTTGTGTGTGTGTGGTGTGTTGTGTGCTGTGTTGTGTGTTGTGTGTTGTGTGTTGTGTGTGCGTTGTGTGTGTTGTGTGTGTGTGTTGTGTGTGCTGTGTGTTGTGTGTGTGTGTTGTGTGTGTTGTGCGCGTTGTGTGTGTGTGTGTGTGTGTGTGCGTTGTGTCCTTTGGGGTTCATATTTCTTGCGCCGCCCAGGCTGTTCGTCCCGGCGCTCCTCGGAATCCTCGGAGCCCCTACGGGAGCTGTCAGGTCCTCTCGACAGCTCTCAGGGCCTTTCGGTAATTTACACAGACCTCTGGGAAGCTCTCAGAGGCTTGTCGGGGTGTCTCAACAGCCTTTCGGGAGTTTTGGGAAACCTCTCCAGGAATTCTCAGGGCCTTTCGGAGGATCGCAAATGGCTTCTTGGAAACTCTCAGTGGCCTTGCGGCAGCTCTCATAAGCCGCTCGAACCGTTTAGAAGCCTCGCGGAGGCCATCACCAATTTTCAAAGGCCCCTCGCAAACTCCCAGAAGTCTTTAGGACATGTTCAGGCTTCAACGGATTCTGATGAGTTTTGTGGATTTCTCAGTGGCGCTCCGGATTCTTTAAGATTTCCTTGAGTTTCTACATTATTTGGCGCATGTGAATCCGGCCATCAACCAAGTGTGATTTACTCGTAGTTTGTATTCGGTTTCCATCTACCTGTATTGCTGGCCTTACACAGCTACCGGCCATAGATGGGCGGGACGCGTCTGGCCGTAAAAGAAGGGTGATCATACTACCACTACTACTACTACTACTACTACTACTACTACTACTACTACTACTATTACTACTACTACTACTACTGCTACTACTACTACTACTACTACTACTACTAATACTACTACTACTACTACTACTACTACTACTACTACTATTAATACTACTACTACTACTACTACTACTACTACTACTACTACTACTACTACGGCTGTTTTACCTACGGCCACAACCACACATTCGATTATTACTACTACTACTACTACTCCTACTACTACTACTACTACTACTACTACTACTACTACTACTACTACTACGAGTACTACGAATACTACTATTACTACTACTACTACTACTTCTACTTCTACTACTACTACTACTACTACTACTATTACTACTACTACTACTACTACTACTACTACTACTACTACTACTGCGACGACGACGACGACTACTGATACTACTACTACTACTACTACTACTACTACTACTACTCCTACTGCTCTCTCCTCTTTCCCCCTAGCCCCTTCGATTTGTTTTACCTCTTGCGTTTATCATTGCGAAGCGGGCCAGCATTAGCTTTTTCCCATTCATGTGATGTAGAACACAGCAAAACCCAGTTGGTTTCACATATACACAACGCATGTCCCAAATCAGATACTGATATTTGGGCCTCTATCCTTTCCCACCCCTCCTCCTCTCCTCCCGTTTTCTCTCGTTTCCCATTTTTGTTGTTTTGTGGTTTTGTGAATTTTGTCATATGCGATTCTGACTTTGACAGCTTTCCGAAGTCGCGAACGTGTGGCAGCGCTGTGGGGTTCTCACCAGGCAGGGCTAGATCGTCGTTGTCGTCTTCGCAACGACGACGACCATGAACTCCTCTTTCCTCGTCATGCATCCCACGTGCGACTTGCCAGGGCAACTCGTTTGCTACCCCCCTTGTTTCCGAATTTCATTATCCCTAGGTGTCATTCTCATGGGCAAGGGGTTAGCCCACCCCGCCCAGGAGCGTCCGGATTCATCGCCGTTCTATCGGTGACGCATCGCAGATGTCAGCTCGATTCTTGCGCCCCTGAGTTGGTCCCCTCTTACGTTCCCCTTCAGTGGGAGGGGGGGATGAGGGAGAGGGGATGCGTAAGCAGGGGATGGGTTGGGCATCTGTCTTTCCTGTCTGTCTGTCTCTGTCCTGTCTGTCTGTCTGTGTCTCTCTCCTTCGTTGTTTGCTCCTCTCTCTCTCTCTCTCTTTTTCTCTTCCCTTCCCTCCTCTCCCCCGAGCGCGCTCGGCCAGCTTGCTGGCGCGGCCTGTGCGCAGACCGTGGTCTGCTGCGGGCCCAGGGGGCGGGGGAGGGGCGGGGAAGAGGGGGGCCTCGGTTTCCAGCGGCCAGGAGAAGAGCGCACTGCATGAACATGCAGTGGAGACCCATGCCAAGAAACACCCTGCTTGCCTCCAGGGTGCCCATCCCGAAATCCATGGAGGTCCTGGGGTCTCATGGTTAGGCTTCTGGTGGAGGGTCTCTTGTGGTCGGGCCTCCACTGCACACCTGCGACGCTCCGCGCGGATTTCTTGGATCTGGTGGAGCCTTCTGCACGGCGCCGCCCCTGGCGCGCTCCGCGCGCCAGGGAGGAGGGTCCGGCGCCGATGCAAGAATTTCGTGCGGACCTCCAACAGTTTATGTCCGGATAAGCGTGAGACTCGAGTTCGCCAGGTCTCGGGTTAGCAGGCGCTTTTTGACGGGCGCGTCCTGGATTTGACGGTCCACGTGGGGTGTTTGCAGTGGGAGTTCGCGTCATATTTAAGATTGGGTTTTGTCATTCTCTGGGCGGTCCAGTCAGGCCAACCTGAGCCCCTAGATGGGGCCGGAGTAGATGGGATCGGAGGATCGCTCCGCATCGCCGATGCATCCGCGATGCGGCTCGATGTGGAGCCCGATTTTCTCCACGCCGATCGCGCCGATGCATCGCCGGGGTCGCCAAAGCATCGCCGATGCATCGGCGATGTATCGCCGATGCATCGACGGTGCAGCGCGACCCTCCGACCCCATCTGCGCGGACCCCATCTAGGAGGCCTCCTACTTTCTTCTCCCCGAGATGTGTGCGCCGTCGTCTCTGTGCCTCCAGAGGCGGCACGGCTGCTCGGGGGCGCTGCCGCGCCCTCTCTCTCTGGGGCTGCAGGAGGCGGCCGAGGCGCCCGCCTGGTGCCGGGCGTGGATGCGTGGGCACGCCTCGGCCATGAGCGGTGGAGCCGCAGGAGCGTGGGGAGAGCTCGGTGGCAGAGTGCGGGTTCGAGAGGGGTGCGCTGTGCCGGTGGGCGCGGGCAAGCGTCGGGCTGGCCCGAGCGAGAAGGTTCAGTTTTCGGCCAGCACCTCTCCCCCTCTCCCCCCTGCCGGAAAAGTTCGGGGCGTCGTCATCGCCGAACAGTGCAGAATGGGATCCGGGTCAGGATGCTTCGGCAGCAACTCATGGGAGCCTGGCATACCCTCGTGGCTCCGTCTTTCGCGCCGATCCGCGGCGGGCTAGCGTCTGGCGATAGGTGAGATAGCGCCGATGCAGCACCGATTGCAGTTGATAAGCGTCGATGGGCGTTGCATCGCAAGAGCCAACAATCGGGGGTGGATAGACCTCCTACCCTGACACGTCGATTAATGAATTGGCCGTTTTCGGTTCGCGAGAGGGCGTCGCGGCCGTCATTTTTGCGGGTCCAGGTCCGTCGGTTTCGGTCCCAGGCCCTTTTCACTAAGGGGAGGCCTACTAAAGGGAGGTTTGTCCACCGCCGAAACAAGATGGCATGGGAGGCTCCCACAGGCTGCCGCCGACGGGATCGCGTGAGGGGGCGAGCGGGGACACCACGGCCGTCGGCCGTCGGGGGGGGGGCCCCTCGTCGCTGCGGCGGGACGCATGTCGGGACACCTGTGCTCGCTCTCGGCCCCCACGCGGGAGCTCACCACCCACCAGACCACCCCAACCCAACCCGAAGGCCTCAATTTGCCCTCCATTTCCAGTGGGGGGGGTCGGGGAACATCGAAAAAACGCGTATGGAACCCATACCCCCCCCAACCCGAAATCCGGGTCTTCGGGTTGGGTTGGGGTGGTCTGGTAGGCAGTCAGGATCTCGGCTGCCGAGCGTGAGCTGCCCGCTCGCCCTGCTCCCAGGGCAGGGGGAGGGAGGGCGGCGCTGCGTTCGGCCCGGCGCTCAGCGCGGCTCCTCCGCCGTCCTGGCAGGGAGGACCAGGGGCAGGGGGTTGAACCATGTGACGAGAGTGGGGATCAGGGGGCAGGAGGAGGAGGGAGGTGAGGAGCAGTGAGTCCCTCCTCGGTCCTTCTCCCGCTTCTCTTGCAGGGAGGATCAGGATCAGGAGCAGGGAGGATCAGGAGTAGGGCGGTGTGCCAGCGAAGATCAGGAGAACCACCGATCGCCAGTACTTTTTACAATCTGACCCTCTGGGGAATGCCAGGAGCCACCGATCACCCATACTATTCACCAGAGGATTATTCGTGTAGGGGTGAATCGAGCATGGATCCAGAGCTGGCTTTTTGAGTTATTGAGCCGATGTGTTTTCTAATTCAGGCATGCATTGGGACGTGTGGTGCATTTGGGGAACGCGGCATGGATGAAGGCAGTTCACAACATGTCGTAAGCATGTATTGGCAGGACGTGCGAGAGAAGAGAGCACTATCGAACGCGTGAGGGATTCATACCGACATGGGGTGGTAGAGAGAGAGAGAGAGAGAACGAGAGCGAGAGAGAGAGAGAGAGAAAAAGGTAGGTAGAGCGAGAAAGAGAGGGGTAGAGAAAGCGAGACAGACAGAGAGAGAGAGAGAGACAGCAAGGGAGACAGAGGAAGAGAGGATTGAAGAGGGAGAGAGAGAGAGAGAGAGATAGAGAGAGAGAGAGAGCGAGCGAGCGAGAGATCGGTCATCATGTGACGATCCCGTGATAATCGGGTGGGCAGACTCGCTCCTGCCCTGTGTCGGACTTTTCCCATGACTCTGTTGTATCGTGGCTCAGAGCCTCCATTTTTTCCTTGCATCTGCCACATGTTGGCTCACGGCAGGAATCGTGTCCCTCTTCATACTTCGGCGTCATGAAGGCGAACGCGGAGCGTCCAGGTCATCAGTTTGTTTGCGAGGTTAGGATTGGTTGCTTCGAGCCGTACTGTTCGTATTTACTTTTCACGGGTGAGGATCCCATTCCCCAGTGTACGAGGGCATGCAGCGATACATGGACATATTCTGAAGTATGTCCATGTCTAAGTCATGGATCCAGGTGTGCGTCTGTTGCTGGTTGGCGCGCTGTGATTGGTGTCTAATGATATTGTGTCGCATCTGTCTGTCACGGGTGCATACCGATACCACAACATGCATTTCGTTACGCGCTAGGCTTCTCACGTTCGATGCCCAGGTCGGCTAGTCCTTCGCGAGCAGTTTTCCTGATTCCTTGACTTTCGCAGCATTGCTCCGTGACCCGACCTGCTGTTGGTGGCACCCCCAGTAACACCTGCCAGCACAGCCAACATGATGTGTGGTCCCAGTAGCAGGCTCGTAGGTACCGTTGAGCTGTGTCTTTCCTGCAGAGCAGCCTGAGACAACCGAGGCGGCGTCTTCCAGTACCTCTGCTCTGTTCTCGGCAGCCCTGGGCCCTGGATTGCTGCCCTGGCCAGCTTTGAACTGTATGCCATGCACAGCATCCGGCTTGAATACGGAGCACTTACTTTTCACAAGGGGCTCGGCCGTTCCTTTGGTTTGCATGCGTTCCGCTACCGTTCTGGCGGCGGACTCCCCCTGGTGTTCCTTCGAACTTCGTAGACTTACTTGGAACAACCGGGGCCTCGTTCCTTCTTGATCGTTCCTTAGGTCAGGCCGAATACTGCAGCGTCGTCCCTGGGCCTCCTCGAGGCGAGCAGTGGCTCCGAGCGCCCCCGCTGTGGGCGAGCCCCCCCCCCGCCCACGGTGGCGAGGCGACCGTTCTCTGCGGCCCACCTCGAGGACTCCTGCGGGGCCACGGCGGAGGCCGTCGCCACCTTGACCTCGAGCTCAGGGGAGGAAAGGGTGCCGATACCGCTACCCTCCGCCCGTTTTCCCCTTTTTGGGCCTCCTGGGCGGCCCTCGTCGCCACCGCTGGATTCCCCGCGAAATCCTGGTCAGAACGCACCCCAGGAGAGGTCCGGGGAGTAGCGGTATCAGTACCTTTTGGTTTCCCAACGAGCCCGGCAGCGCGCGCCGGCGTGCAGAAGCGCATGCGGCTGTGCAGAAACAGGTCGTCCGCTCTCCAAGGGGGCGTCCCGCGCGGGGGGCGCCTTCCGTGCCCCGTCCAGCCACGCCCTCTGTGCCCGCCCCCTCGTCCCCCTCCGCCTCATTCCCCTCCAAGGTGCACGGCTTCTCGTGGGCGATGGGCATGGCTTGTAGTGCAAGGGGTATATATTGACCACCCATGGGCTGGGCTGTACATGCGACGCTGTCTTCCATCCGCGGCCATTTTGGCTCGAAAAGTCGGGGACCCCACGAATTTGGCCTCTCGCGGCCCTCTTGGAAGGCTCTCGGGGCTCACTTGGGGCGTCCCGGAGGCCTCTTGGGCCGTCTTTGGACCGCCTTCGGCATCGGGGATGGGGCCCCAGCGCGTGGGCGGGCGCGGGGGAAATGAGGCAGGGGGTGGATGAGAAGGGGGGGAGGAAGAACGGGGAGCGGGGGAACGGAAGGCCGAGGGTCAGCGAGCAAAGAACGGTATAAGATAATTTGTTTCGCTGTCGGGGGCGCCTGTCCCTGGGCGGCTGGAAAGCTTCTACCCCTACGGTGCCACCGTAAGGGTATAAACTTTCCAGCCGCCCAGGGACAGGCGCCCCCGACGGCGAAAAAGTTTATTTTATACCGTTCTTCGCCCGTTAAGAGGGAAGAGGAAGGCGTCGGGGCCGGGACGGGAGCGCCCTTGTCGACGCCGGTGGAAGCGCGTGCGGTCCTGCGCGCGCGGGCCGCGCAGGGCCGGTGGGCCCGACGATGGGCCTTCGGCTCCGCGGGCGGCCACGCACCGAGGGGCCCGCCGCCAACGAGCAGCTTGGCCGACGCGCAGGTGTTCGCGGGGGTGGCCCCGTACGTACAGTCGGGGCCCTGAAGAAGGAACCCTTTTCGTTGGGGAGGGGCTCCGCGTTCCTTTAAGTGTTTCACAGCTTGCCTCAGGCTTTCCTTATGTTTTCGACAGGAAATCGAGGGTTAACTTATGGAAAAAAGGGTCCTCGTTCCTTATTTAGGGTTCCTTGGGTCAACGCCCCGACTGCAGGGGAACATAAAGTGAAATAAACATAACAACTCGGAGGTCCGCGCGGATTTCTTGGATCGGCGCTGGGGCCCCTCGGCGGCGCCTCCGGCGCCGCCCCTGGCGCGCTCTGCGCGCCAGGGAGGGGGGTCCAGCGCCGATCCGAGAAATCCGCGCGGACCTCGTCACTTAGTTATTGTTATAATACGTACCTCCTGCGGCCTGGCCAGGCTGGGTCCCCTGGCAGCTCCTCCAGCTCCGCCATCTCGCGAGCCGCCTATAGGCGGGCGGGCGGCCCAGCGAACCGGCGCCCAGAGCCTCCGCCCCGAGCAGCGCAGACGATCGCCCTGCCCGGTCCCCGCGCAGGCCCAGGCCTGGCGGCGCCCGCAGCAGCGGCAGCAGCTGGCGCACGAGACCACGCCGGAGCAGCTGGAGCCCTCGACGCCCACCCTTCAAGCAGTGGCGAAGCGTCCTGGCTCGCCTATAGCCTTATCAAACAATGTTCTAAGAACTTTTTGAGGTTCCAACGAAATGTTCTTGGAACAGTTCTGGCACAGTCCGTCTTGTCTTCTTACATCGGGTTAATGTTCGAAGAACATTGTTTTGTCTTAGAACATTTTTGGGTACTAAGAACATTTTGGTGGTAGGACTATAGAACTGCCGGGACGGTCGGTCCCTGCTCAACGACAGCCGTCGCGCCGTTTTGGCGCCAAGCCAATGGGCTGGAAGCATGGCTCAGGAGGGGAAGAAGCACACAGACATGATGCATCGTCGATTCCCAGGAAACACATGGGAAACTGTGGACACTGGGGGGGGGACGAAAACCCAGAGAACAGAGGAAAAGATGGGGAATCCTGGAATTTGTGTTTTTTTTTGTTGTTGTTGTTTTGTTTTGTTTTGTTTTGTGTGTGTGTGTGTCCCAGGGCCCCTGTACATGCAGTGGCCGGGGGGGTGCAGGAGACGACGCCAGAGCCTCGGGCTTGTGCCAGAGCAGCTGTGCACGGCTTGGGTCACCCATCTCTCGACCTGAAAGGGTGCTCGGCGGTCGCGAACAGGGAGCGTTTCGTGTCCACGGTGGAAGGCAAGAGAGGGTGTGGCAACTACGAGCAAGTGGCGGCGCGGGGACTCTTGAGGCGCCACCAAGGGGGGGTGCTGTGCCCAGAACGCACGATAAGCGCTGTCCACCAATTTAGCCGTCCGTCGCAACGGCAACAACAATGTCCAACGGCATCAGCACGGCGTTCGGCATCAGCACGGCATTGTCAATTTGCGGCCAGTCTGTGACCCACTAGAAACAGCTTCCAGACACGCTTTGACGACGATAAACAAATCGCGGCTTGTCTTCATCTGTAGCGTCGTCCCGTCAGCATGCCCGCTGCCTGCCAAAGCACGTCTCACGACATGGGCCATTGATATTTCAATGATTGTCGAAGCGCCATGTTTTTGGCCTCCTTTTGGTTTGCGCGTGACGCTCTGAAAGCCTGGAGGTTGGCGTGGACATGTGGGTCAATGTGCTATGGCGCAACCTTGATCTTAGGAGAACTTCAGGAGAACTGGGAACTTGCTGCGCACATTGCATGCAAGTGAGACTCATACCTCGCGTGCATCACCCCTCTGCACGCATGGCCGAAGCAGCTGGGGTATAGGGTACGTCGTGCGAAAACGAGGCACCCATTATATGTGATGTCAAGGAGAGACGGGGGGAGCATGAGCAGTGAGCGAGATCCTGGCAAACAATAAAAAACACAAGCTTGATGAGCTTCCGTTCGAATTCCTGTTTCCGTTCTGCTTAGCGCTGTCGTCCGCCACTCCAGCACGACTGGGCCGCGCCTTGCCCCGAAGTCGCGTGAGACACCCTCTCAGGGCCCTCTTGGCCCGTCTTGGAGACCTTGGGCCCGAACAAGTCATGCGACAAGACGCGCCAGAGCCCAAGGAAACCGCGACAAACCCCGAGAGATTTGGCAATTCTGGGTCTGGGCCCCTGAAAGACTCCTGAGGATCGAGGACTGAGGCTCAGGGGATTGGGCAAAGGACTTGAGGACACGCCCACTCCGTGCCCAGCGGCACGCTGGATGATCGTTGCCCTTCAGAAAGATCATGGAGCCTGGCCTCTATCAGCCGAACAGTGTTGTGACCGAAACCGTGCCCGAACCGGGGCAGGGCCAGGATTGTTTGTGTGTATGCGCGTTTGCTGTGCCGATTTCCGGGTGCGGCGTGTGATCGCTTGCGACTGTTGGAGACGGCTCACGGCCCGAGTGCGTTCCAGACCGTCATTGAGGCATTTGCAATGGTGAGCCGAGGTCACCACAGAGTCCTTGTGCAGGCCGGTCCGCGACAGAGCGGAGCTGCTCGGGGCTTATGAGACGGAGGTCAATGCAAACGGGGGTCAGCTAGAGCGCCGGATCTTGCAGGATCCTGCGGAGCCAGGGTTGCGTTGACCCGGGTTTGGGTGCAGGATCCTGCAGAATGTTGCCGGATCTTGCGAGGCTTGACTGCCATATGTCTGGATCGACCCGGGTCCGAAGATCCTCGAGCTGCTTTGACATTGCTGCCGCGTGTCAACCATGCGGCGAGGTCAGTGCAGACGGGGTGAAGGGAGGGAGGTAGATGGAGGTCAGCGGCTTCTGAGAACTTGAAGCTGGCTGGGCGTCAGTGGCCTCTTGTCGTGATCATATACTTTGGGCTTCCGCCCACTATTGTCGCTGCCCTTTCCCTTTCCCCACCACTTTCGTTTCATCTCTCCGTTTGTCCTCACCTCTCCTCATCCCTGAGCCTCCCCCCTTGCTACAATTGCTGTAGTTGAATCCTAATCGGTTCAGGGGCGTGGGGTGGGCAGTACGGTGCTTAAGGACAACCACCGTATCCAGCAGTTGCGTTTGCGTTTGTAGGTGCTCATCGTTGCGGTTTGTGCACGAAGGGCCCAGCCGTGGAAGGTGTTGTGTGTGGTCGACGGGTGACCGGCGCAAAGTAGCGCGCTCGCTGTCGGACGAGTCGTTCCGACTTCCTTGGGCTGCTTGCTTACCCTTCTTCTTCGTCTCCCTCATTCTCACGACGACTTGGCGCGACGCGCAGCTTCGGGATCCGACAGGGCAACGTCCGTGGCCAATGTGGCTCAATGCTCAAGCCTGCTTCGACCCTGACATCGCATTTTGTATCTGTGTTCCCTGCACTTTTCGGCGGCGAGCGAGGGGGGGAAATGAGAAGGGGCGGGCCTTCTCAGAAGGCTCAGCAGTCCCCAAGCCTTCCGAGAAGCTTTCTAAGCCTTTCCCGAAGACGCAAAAACCTCAGAAGGCGCGAGGGCTTCTGGGAAGTCCCGCCGCCTTCTGAGAAGGCCTTCTCCTTCTCATTGCCCCCCCCCCGCTCGCCACCGAACTCCACTTCGCTCGAGTGGCCATGGCGGTCTTCGTCGTCCGATGTCTCGTGGCCGCTGTCCTGGCCTCCTCGTTTGGAGCGGGCCACGGGCGGGGGTGTCGCGGGCCGGCGGGCTGCCAGGCGATCAGCACGACTGGCATGCAGGGCGCCCTCGGGATCGATGCCCAGTTGCTCCAGATTGCCGCAGACGCAGAGGAAAATTCGAGCAGGGCCTTGCTCAGTAGGCGCGTCGCGTTCACGATCGAGCTCGAGATCCGGAAAAAGTTTGGGACCAGCATTGGGTTCCCTATCCAGATGCAGATTGCGAACGGCCTGATGTCTGACCTGGAGGCGGAGGCGCAGGCCCACATACGAGCCTGGGACAATACGTTCAGCTCGGCAACGGTGTCTGGCGGCGCCGCTACGGTGATGCCGTCTCCCGAGAATGGCATTAACCGGGTCTTCGCATTGCTCCCAGTCACCGGAATGCTGTATTTTGCCATGAACACCAGGGCTGATTTGCAAGCCGACCTCTTGAATGCCTTCGAGGGCTTGTCGTGGGGCGACGCTAAGCCTCACCAGTTGTTCATCGGGCAGGGTAACACGCAAGACACGGCAATCAGCAGCGATCAGGCAGTGACTGGCAAAGGAGACCCCCACTTGGTCAACATGCGCGGGCAGCGCTTCGACCTCTACCAGCCGGGCATCCACGTGCTCCTCCAGGTCCCCCGGCGCGCGAAGCCGCAGGACAGCCTGCTGCGGGTGGAGGCCGACGCGCGGCGCATGGGCGCGGCGTGCGCAGACCTGTACTTCCGGGTCTTGAACATCACGGGCAGCTGGTCCAACCAGACCGCGGGATTCCAGTACTTCGCGGACAAGGAGCTCGACAGCCGAGATTGGAGGAAGTTCGGCGCCGTGGACCTCAAGGTGGTTCGCGGCAGCACCCTGTCAGGCATAGCGTACCTCAACGTGTTCGCGAGGCACCTCGGCAGCTTGGCGTACCCCGTCGGCGGCCTGTTGGGGGAGGACGACCACACCGCGGCGGCAACTGCTGGCCCCGAGTGCAGCACAGGTCTGGATCTCCACTCCCGGCGGCCCGCGGTGGCCTCGTTCGCCATCACACAGGACTGAGAGGGACCGGGCGAGGCTCGGGGGGGGGGCGGCCGAGCTGCGGGGGCGCCCATCCAAGAGGGGGGTGAGGACCAGGAGGAGGGGAGGAGGAGCGGAGGGCGGGCGGCAGGCGCGGCTCAGTTCAACGGGAGGCCAGGCCACGGCCCACCTCCTGGGCGCCGGCTGGCCAGGGCCACCTCCACTTCTGGAGGAGGAACCTCCCGTTTCCCTTATCGGGTCGGGCTGAACCTGGCCGGACGACCGCCGTGGCCAGGGCGGCGGGACGCTTTGCGTGCGCCACAGGGCTGCGTCGAGCTCGCGTGACCACCGAGGCTGGTTTGCAGTCCTCCCTGGCTGGTGCACATGTTCTCCCCTTGGCGCGCTCCGCGCGCCAGGGCGAGGTACCCCCACCGATCCGGGAAATCCGCGCGGACCTCCAACCTTGCGTTTACGCATGCTTGCTGTTCCTCTATCCTGCATCCAGAAGCTGAACCTCTCACGGTTGGGGGGGCTCTGCACCTCCTGGGAGGTTAATTAGGTGCAGCATCGGCGCTGGTGTGCCTGAGGGCGAGATCGTCCTGATCCGGCGGATCCCGCTGAATCCGGCTTCGTCCCGAGCTTAATCCCGAGCTTGATCCATCATCTTCAGGCCCAATGGCCCTCGGATCTGGCCCGATCGCTTGTAACACCGCTTTCACGGCAATCGGAAGTTGCCTCCCGGAGGGGGGGGGGCGAGGTGGTCCCCCACTTGCGGGACCAGCCTCTCCCGCGAGGGGTGGTCTGCTCTGCCGAGCGAGCACTGGGGCACTAGCACCTCTTCGG